AATTAAAAAAATAAAATTATTTTTTATAATTTTTTTTCATATATTTAAAGGATTGAATTTAATTATCATTGCAGAAACTATATAAATAGTTAGAATTTTTAATTGCCCAAACTTCCAACTACTCTTAATTCAAAGCATTTAAGTAGTAACTTAAAGAAAAATAAAGTTTTTATAAAATAATAGTTGTTCTAATTTATGTTTCTAGATCCGACATGAGTGTTGAATATAGGTATCGGTCCGTATCTTTAATTATCTTTTATATTTTTTTTATATATTTCAAAGATCTAATTTTTTTATAATCACAAGTAAAACAAAAATTATAATCGTATAATTTTGTTAGAAGAATGTAAATTTTCATAAAAGAAAAAGAGAAAAAGCATCTTGGAGAATATGTATTTTTTTTTTCTTTTATGCTATTTTAGATTTCTTTCCTTAAAGGGAAGGCCACTGTTTTTGCACTTAATAAAGTATTAATGGATAATAATACCCAGCTGTGGGGATGGCAAGAACCCAGCAAAAGCAGTTTTACTTGGACTTTGCATTGGCTACTCTACCTCTCTTTGCGTGCCCTTTGGGACTCATTTCATTATAGGTAGTTCAATATTTTGTATTGGAAATCCACATCAGAAAACAACAAACATGAGAGAATTATTATTATTTTTTTTCTTTTTTTTTTTATTTTTTAATACATGTAACAAGTCTATGAGTCTAAAAAAAAACATACAACTTTGAATAACAATCGATAAATTAGATACTAAATAAGCTTAATCAGAATATTCTTATGGTATTTGTTGTTGGTTTTTCTCTTTAACAGATTCATCATCAGCAGCAGCCGCATCTCTGCTAATTACATCTAAAAGAACAACGTCTTGATTGGAAGTCACTGTTGCTATTTCAGTACCAACGATGGCCATTTGCTCACCACTACATGGAGCAGCTGCCACCTCGTTGCTGTCCGAATCTGATGAATTCTGATCCTTGCTCTTACCCCACAAAACTAGGTAGAGGCCAACAACAATGACAATAGCTCCAATAAAACTGCAAAGTTTGCAATGAATTGTTGGCCTAAATGTTAGTTAAAAAATCACTGAAACTAGTAAGTTTTAAATGTATAGATGTTAATGCACAGTCCATTGTGCAAATGACGTCCCCAGATGTTTAGTATTAATATTAAATTTAATGAATCAATATAAGTCACTGTATACAGATGACATGAAAGCTACTTCTTTCCAAGTGTTTCAGGAAAAAAAGGAAGACAATAAGATATGCACCTTCCTAAATACATTGTCTCAGAAAAGATAAAGGAGCTCATAATGACGACGATAACCATGGTCAGAGGGTTAAAAGCAGCAAAGAAAACAGGTCCCTTGGCTTGTATTACCATTGCTCCTACATAGTAAGCAACCCCAGAACAGATAACTCCCTGCACATGGATAGATATCAGTATACTTTTTGCAGGAGTATGAAATATGAAGCCTTAATTTTCCACAAGTAGTCATTGACTTGAGCCAAAACAAACAAACAAAATTAAAAAAAAGGGGTTAATTCAGGTCCAAATAATAGTGGTGGTTGGTTGAGTTAAGAATTTCTTACACTGTAAACTGCAGCCAAGAGTTTAGAATCCCAGTGTATGGACCAAGCTGCAGCATTGCCCCCTTCCATTACTAGGGCAACAATGGTACCTTCAATTGCGCCCATCAAGCAAACTAAAGTTGTTAGGGAGAGCTCAGCAGGGTATGATTTTAGCGTCATCGCCTGTAGAAACAGACCATGGTAATCTCTTACTGATTATAAATAATAAAATCCTGCTGCTACTCTTCTCCTCTTCTTGTAGCAAGCCAACAACTTTGATATCGATACTACTACAATCAAAGCCAAAGAAAAAGAGTTGAGGAGAAATACTTACTTGAAGAATGACAAAACAAGCGCAGCAGACACAGCCTGCAAGGATCATGAGAGCACCCTTTAAGGGGTCATCCTTGGTTGCAGAATCTGTAGATTGGTGCTCATTTTTAACTTTTGTCCATGGCAAAGGCAATATTGGCCCATTAACTAAAGTCATAATCATTGCTCCTCCAACAGTCCCAAGGGTCCCCAAAATCTTTGCCTGGCAATGCAGTTTCCTCATATCAACCTTCTCAAGCCTGCAAAAATTCTTCACAAGTTAACTCCACCATCCAGGTCATCATCCTTGCAAATTGCAATTCATCCACTTACATAGGCAGCTAGAGAGTAAAGATATATACCTACAGGCCCACGCTAGCAAAAATACAAAAGCAGGAAGAACATTGCACAATGCAGTTGCAACAGTTGCCGTTGTGTACTTCATCCCTGTATAGTATAAGTTCTGATCAATTGTTGGCCTGCAGAAAAGAGAAAATGTTTCCTGGTTAAGGCAGAGCAAAACACAAAACAAACTTTGTTGATTATTATAAAATTTTTGCTCGATGGTCAAGCTCCTTACTCCAATAAGCCCAGCAGCAATATCTGAACAAATACAGAGAAGGTCATCTTTGGCCTTATTTTCCTGTTAAAAAATCCACAGTTTTCATCAGTCAGGACAGATTCCAAACTCATTGATAAAACTCAAGAAGAGATATATATATAGAAAAATCAGACCTATCGAAAACAATGGCGAAAGGTGCAAGGACAATTGTGGCGATGACAAACCGGTAAACTACCAAGACATGTTGGCTCATGCCCCTATTAAGTGCGAACTTGGCAACTATGGGCATGCCTGCAGAGCCAAACCTCATAAAAACCATGGCCAAATATGGCATAGCTTTATTGTACATGCCAGCTGAGGCCTCCATGGACAGTTTATTTCTCTCTTTCCAATCAATGACAAATATAAATGGAAGAGACCTCTGTGCAGAATGAAGCAGAAGAAGCACATACTTATATACACATTGCCTTTTACTTTTGCATGTAAAAATTACAACTGCATGGCCTTCCAAAGTCTACATTTTCCCCCGTAAATTCCATAAGTATTAAATATTAACAGATTAGTTAATTAAAAACTTTTAACAATTTCATAAGTAAATATCTAAAGTCTAATGGTTGAAATTTTTTAGTACCATATATAATAAAGTTCATGCATAATTAAGTTAACTTAATCTTTGGTTTCATGCATAATTAAGTTAACTCAATCTTTGGTGGGGTAATTTGTTTGAAATCAACAGTTTGGCTCTTTATGAATTTAATATTTTATTAAATTCAGCTCAAACATATTCTGAATTGGTACCGTAAAGGATTAGTTTTTGGATGTCAAATTTAACTTTATTTCTTTTCACACATCGAATGGGATTAATTATTGAAGCTTAGTTTGATGTGGGGTATTAATTTCTGTTGCACCCCATGGAAAATATTTCCATTTTCCATTTCCCATTGCCCACTAGTTCTCATACCTATATATATATATTAATAATTTCTCTACTAAAATCATATTAATAAAATATTTAAATATTAACATCAACAATAACTTTCAATAGCAATAGATGTTATTATTGAAATTTTAGAAAATATATTGTATATATAAGTATATATATACTTTTATCATAAAATCATATAGTAAAATTATTATGGAACTAAAAATATTGCCTAACTATTTGTCTGATGATGAGTATGACTTCACAAATTTATGAAATAGATTAAGAAGATTTGTCTACAACGTGGAAATATATTGAAGGACCCATTGTTTCATTACCTATAAATAAATATCAATTGTTGAAATTAAAATAAATCAAAATTAATTATTATTGAAGTATTTAATTAGTACTTTCAAAGGATCATTAATTTTTATCTTTATTCCATTAAATGTTAGATCAAAATTTTTAATTAAAAATACTTAAATTATTTATTAAATTAAATGTTCAAGTATGTTACGACACTCCTCTAATTAATAGCTTTCAAGATTCTTATTCCCAGCAAAAGAATATTCACTTTAAAAGTAAGCAATTTTCTTTTAAAAAAAATTATTTCCCACTAAAAATTACCAACTCTAGAAGAAATGCCTGGACATCACCTAACATCAAAACCAGCAGTCCTTTTCCACATAAAATATATGAAGCACCAACATATGTCTCTGCCAGACAAAAATGGAGGGAAAATGAAGAGAAAGGGACACCATAGCACCATGCTAGATTATACTGTCTACCAAGTGGCAACTTGGTGTCATTATCGAGCCTTTGGGAGACCGAGAAGAAAAGGGTTTTAGCAGGTGCTGGAATGAGGCTCATATTCACTACACACAGTGACTATAAACAGTGCTAGAATCAAAGTGGTGCTTTGGCTTTGGAGATTGGCAGGCATTTCCTGGGGATGGGGTGGGTGGTTTTTTCACTGTTGTTTTGTCATTGGCTCAGTAGTCTTTACAGAGTTGAGATAGTGGCATTATATTTTGGCTGACGGTAGACACATCACCTTTCTACATATCCACAAAAGAAGATACCGATTTTGTTACTATTTCTCAAAGCACTTACATTGGGAAATCTTGGGTCTCCTGATAAAGACATTTCCAACCAAAATTCATTGATTGAGTCACGCAATGGAAAGTTTATTTCATTTTTCGTTCTTTTAGACAATTATCTTATTTCTCCTGCTAAACAAAATCATAATTTTATGTAAAATTTTTTTAATTTTACGTAACATAATAAGAAGGTAACATCTTTTATATCACCCTCACGG